TTGTCTTAATAATCATCGCCTGTTACCAGGGCTCAATTAATGGTGATTCGTGCCAAATTAATTAATTAATTAATTAATTTAATATGGGAAAGTGGCCTACAGATTTACTATGTAGTTGTGGCTACCTGTTTTTTTTTTAAATTAAGCAAAATACTTTGGAAATGGGACATTAATTTATTTTCACATACAAACAAATTTGTGACAGTAATACTTTGTACATATTACCATTGTTGTAGCAGTGATTAATTTATTGTTGGTCGTCATACAATCTCGATACATCTGACGAAGCAAATAAAGCATTAAGTTGGGCAGATTACATTTATCCTATAGGGAAAGAGGGGATTAAGCCTGCGCATGGTTGAAAGCTAACACCAATAGCAAGGCTAAAGGTGACCACTGTACCATCCCGAGGCTTTCCACAGGGTGGAAGAAGACATAAGTGAGGTTGAATACATATATTCCAAAGACGACAGAGCAAATGGAGTCTGAGCGTGGCTCGAAGGCCAGCCCACCAGTACAAGGTTCATACAAACCCTAAAGTGATCGCCAAATATCGGGTAGTCACATAAACAAAGCATTATAACCACATAAGCAAAGAATTGAAGTAGAATGGATTCGGACCAAGCCAAAGCTCAATCCTTTCCGGCTCAGGAATAAAGGTATTCATCCTATTTAATGTATTCTTCAACTTATTAAGAAATACAACTGTAATATATGTAAAAACGAGTTTAGGTTGCCCTTACAGAGAATACGAATCCCGTGCGTAAATAACGCAAGGATCCATTTGCGGAGTTCTCATTCGTAAACACAGTCCTTTCTATTCTGCACAGGATGCTAATAAACCAACTAAGTTTTAACCAAATGTCTTATCAAGCCAGAGGGTAGGCTCGGAGACCCAACATTGGTGATGGCGCCGGTCGGCATTCCTCTCCTCCCTCTAAAGAAGAAAGGGATTGAAATTAATGGATTCTCTTCAAAAAGGCTGATCTCAAGCTCTACCATCCTACGTGAGGTATGCCCTTGCTACTTCGCGCCTTACTGTACGATCTACGCCGCGGGGCAATGGACGCGGGAATCACTGCCACCTTAAACCTAAAAGAATGCTCCGAGACAAACGAGATCTCAAAGACTGCTGGTCCCTCCCATCTGCTGCATGGATAGCGGCCAAGTTCAAAAGAGGAGTGCATCCACTCACCTTTGCACAACAACTGGTTCATATGCCAACAGACACAATGAGTTGCCAAACGCCCTCTGAGACAAAGTACACATTTTGATTGATGAGATGCTGCACGATGGCGTAATGAGGCCCTCCAAATCACCCTAGGTCTCCTTCATCGCATTGGTGGAAAAAAGCGGTGGGAGCTCACGTCTATGCATTGATTATAGGCGGCTCAATGCAGTAACAAAGAGGGATGCGTTTCCCGTACCTACAAAGGAGGAGTCAAGTGGTTCTCGACACTAGACCTGAGATCCGGCTAAAGGTAAGTGGAGGTAGCGAAAGAGGATAGAGAGACAATGGCGTTCTTTGTACCAAACAGACTCTACGAATTCAAAACCATGCCTTCTGGGCTTGGCAACGCGGCGGCCACCCTTCAGCGACTTATGCAGACGGCATTGCGTGGTCTGCTCTCGAAACACTGCAGTATCTATCTGGACGACATCCTCGTTTGCAGGAGAGACATCAAGCAACATAACTCCAACCTCCGATCAATGCAAATCTGATGCTGAATACGAAGGAATGCACTTTTCGCCAGAACTCGGTCACGTTTGTGAGACACTATTTCTGCCACGGAAGACGGAAAAACAACAAGTGAAGACAACCTGGCTAGCTAAAGTAGTCGTTTTGTAAAAGGTTTTGCCAAGGTCTCAGGTCCTCTGTACAAGTTGATCGAGAAACAGGTGTAAAAGGAGTTTCGTTGGGAAAACGAACACACAGAAGCGTGTAAGGAGTTGAAGCGCGCTCTCTGCGCCGCATCGACCTTCATTTCACCCAACTTCGATGCTGATGCTTCACCTCCTGTGCTGGACAGACGCAAGCAATGTAGTGGTGGGCGAAGTTCTATCTCACAAAGACGCAAACCAGAGAGAACATGTGGTCGCGTATGCCAGCTCACGTCTAAGCAAAAAGATGAGACCGAAGAGTGCGACAGAACGGGAACTGTTCGCCATCCATACAATGGTTAGGCATTTTAAACACTACTTGCTAGAAAAGCAGTTCGTTGTTAGGGCAGACCATCAAACACTAACATGGTTGACTGCGATGAAAGGGTTTGACCGTTCTGTTGCGAGGTGGTGCGATGAATTATAGAAACATGATTTTGTCATGCAGTATAGGAAAGGAAGCTCTCATGGCAATGCAGACGCATTGTCATGGAGACCTCCCTCCCAGTCCATGGATGATGGCACAGTACGTACGCTGTAATTGAGCGAGATTACTACTCATCACAATAGGAACACACAGATCTCCGATCATGATTCAGCTCCAGTGTATGAGAGCCTAAGGATACCCTCAATCAAGTTTGCAGTTGAGGAGATGATCACAGCGAGCAGGGGAGCCAAAAAAATATGGCTGAAATGGGAATAACTCTCTCCAGAAGACGACATCATATGGTACAAAGACTACAACACGGCAGTTTCTAAATCCCCCTTGGTACCGGATTCCTTGACGCATACAGCTCTGCGGGGAGTTGCATGAACAACTTGGTCATGTGGGGAAAGGAAGATGGTCGATGCCACAAGGGAGAGGCATTGATGACCCTCACTGACATCGGATGTCTCCGGTTTCTATCGCTCGTGCGCCATGTGTACCAGGTTCAAGGACTCACACCGCACCGCGGTAGCCCCTCTTCAGCCAATGTCCACGAACTTTCCATGGCAGCGAGCAGGCATAGATATCATGGGCTCACTTCCAACGACCGCGAGAGCGAATCACTATGTTTTGAACACGAATCCCGTGCGTTGGATGACGTTGACTTATTGTTGCGTCGATATCTTCCTCTCATTTTCCGTACAAGATACCAAATAAACCTTCGCCAACCAACCCTCCAATGAAGACAGAGGTTTAGAGGCCTGGGGGTAATCTGGAAGGTCCTACAAATGTTAATAAATTGTTCCCACTAAATCACATATTTTAATCCGTTGTCTTATTCCTCAAAAAGATGACTTAAGATACACAACCAAAAGTACTATTAAGTTATTGTTTTTGGTTGATAGTTGAATGATACATCAATGCAAACATGGAGTCCATTTTATAGCGCTTTATTTCTCTGTGCCTATAACAGCATAAATGTCTCAACAATTGTGCGATTTACATTTGCGTAGGCGTGGCTTTATGATAAATGATGCAACTTAACTCTTGCCCCTTAGGAAATCTGATGGGGCTATGCTCTGATGGGGTATCAGTGTTCATCCCTTTTAAATGCTTGCCTAACTTTCCGACTTGCTTGTCCTTTGCCCATGTTCCTTTTTAATGGTGTGGAAAAAAAGGGCAGAACTGCGAAAAGATAGAACCCATGATCATTCCAGCCTTTGCTCCACATAAAAAATATGCATTTGACATCACAATGTTGCATTGGTTGAGATGATTTGAGCCGTAAAAATGGCTCTCATTTTTGGCGTCAGCCCATAGCGCACTTGGCATTTAAACTGGCATTGGACTTTTCTTCGCTATGAGAGAATCTGCGCTTGTTTCTTAGTTCCTCGGCTTCAAAATCCACTACCTCTTCAGGTGTCTTGAAGGGGCTGCAACACAAATCCAACGAGAGAGTCAGGGCTTTTGGCGTGACGACAAGGTTTAGTCTCCCTCCTCCCTGTCCATCGCATTATAGCACTAACTTGGCAGCCAATCTCGCAAATCATTGAAGTGCAATTCAGCATTTTTCTGAAAAGTTTACTCCCTCATTTGTTTGAGTTAGCTTAACGACTTGGGTATTTAATTCCTGCAGGTCACGATTTTGTCCCGTACTATGACCGTCGTTTAGTGACGGTGGCCTTCTAGGCCTTCAGAAATTCATTTAAGCATTTTACTTATAATGACAAGGTTTATTACAGCTTGCTTGCCACTGTCCGAATGCATCTGCTCACCTCAAGACTTAGTAAAAACTTACTATTCAGTGGCATCTGCGTTGAATCGCAGATGAATCGTGCTGAGGTGTCTACAAGGGGGACTGCCCAGCTAACTTGAGAAAACTCATTTCCCATTTCGCAGCATCAACTCCGCCGTCATTCCTGCCCTAAGGATGGCTAAAATGCTTGGCATTACTGACGGTAGAGTGATTAAATTGCACATTCGGCATTCCCAAAGAATCGGTTTTTGAAATTTGCTGGCACTCTTTTGCAGTCCAATTATTCCTCATCGGCGCATACAATTAGTGGAAACGTCAACTTCAAAGTCAACTTTGGGGGAGTGCAGCCAATGTTATGCTACTAAGTTGATTAAAATGGCATAAACCGTCATTTTTTTAAGCTATTATATACAAAAGTGGACCGATTAGATCTAAATGAGCACTAAAATTTGCGTAGTTTTGTGGGCTGGAAGAATAAAATTAAGAGATGGTTTGGGTGGAAGTAAGGGAATCATTTAGAACCTCAGGGGATAGCTAAACTTTAGCAAAAATGTAAAGTAGTTTTGAAAAGCGGTAACCACACTTTCTACTCTCATGCCAAAACTAAAGCTCCTTCCTTAATATATTAATACGTTCATCAAAACTTGTTCAAAAACCGAAACGAAGCTTATTTTACGCACTACTTTTGACAGTCAAGCTTCTTTTTATCACACACGCACTCCACCTCTTAAAATTAGCACCAATCGTCGGCATTAAGAGAGTATGAAGGAGGTTCAGCATGTGGACACTGTTGGCTGATCCGTCTGGGGACGTACGGTGACAGCAAAGGCTAAATGACCGTCATCAAAGGTAGCCCCTTCGGTTGGCATTTATAATAAATGTATTAACTTGCTAAAAGCGATTATAATGACATCGATTTAGTACAAATGGATAGCCATGGCATTCGACCAAATCGTAATACTCATAAAGTGGCGCCAACAGCATAGTGAAAGCCTACTGGTGCGTCGCCTGGATCCTGTGATTGGTTCCCCAGTCATCCTCAGGGGTGTAGGACTATCAAGTCAGTCATGCTACTTCTGCTGTTTGGATTACTTTTCCTATTCCCAGTTTCCTCTAACAGGATCTATTTGAATGGAGGTGGCGATTCCATTGTGAAGGATGTCTTCGAAAAGCTTCTTCGCCTTTACGCACACAAACGTATTCATGTGGGTCAGGTACCCTTGATCGTAAAATCACACATTTAATACCTTTTATTTCCATTCAAGATAATAGGCGATTTCTATGAATTGCCCAGAGCCAAAGCTGTTGAAGAGCTTAAAAATCCTGCCACCTCTTCCATGATGTACGCGGCATTCGAAACAACAGAACTTAGCATTGGTGGAGATTTCATAACCTTCCCCATCTTTTACGCGTACGTAGATTTTACCTGCTAAATACTCGTGACTTCTTTAGTGAAACTTTTAGCGACCTGTTTTAAGTTCAATTGTTTAATAGCAGAGCCAGACACCTTATCTTGGATACGGTATCGCAAATGTTTGCTCTAATGAAAAAAAACTAGCTAATCAGAAAGCCGATTCAAGCTGTCAAGTGATATTTTAAGCACAAATCTGCACAATTAGTTTGCACAGGCAGATGGTTGACAAGCGTCACGCATTGTGACTCGTTGTCCATGATAGAAGGGATTGACCGTACCGTAAAGACGGGGCTACCTTCGAACATCTCATAGAAATGATCGCAAGAAGGCCTTTGAATTCCATTGCACACACCCTTTGTGTAACGCTGAATTGCACAAATTACCAGGTCAGGTTCTCCGATCTCATCAAGTGATGCCACAAAGAGGTGGAAGTCAAAAGTACGAGATAGAGCTGCACAGACCTGTCGTAGGTAAATTTGGTCGTTTTCAAGGAGCGGATGTTGCCGTTCTATTGAAACGAGGTTTGATGATGAACTCCTCATTGGCACCTTAGGAGCGAACGTCTTAATTCTATACGGCTCGTTGAAAATACAACAGAACCATCCAGCAATTCTAGAAATGTTAAGTCGCAACAATTAATCATAAAATATAATAAGCTATTTCTGGCTTTGAGAGTTGACTGCAAATAAGTTGCATATTAAAAATACACGCTACCTCTATTTTAGCAGTTTCAACTTCGTGGACCAGAGAGTGTCTCCTAATTGCCATCAAGTGGCGACAGACTCCATTACCGTGCTTTTGAGTGAGCAGAGAAAGTGTACATCAGTTAAGAGGCATTTGGTGCCGCTTACGTCCCTGTCGGTTTATTTAGTAACTGAGGTAGCTTATTTGAGATGTAAGGCACTCTCTTCTCTGCAGGCTAAATAATTTTACCTCGTTACAATAAAAGCGTGGTTTTATACTTATTCTCAATAGACCAAGTTGCTATCAAGACATGGTAGAAATCAACTTTATTCTTGGACATGAAAAATGGTCTTGTTCTGGAGCTTTACATTCCAGTAACCCGTAGGAAAAACGTCAATGTAAAATTTTTTGAATTAATAATTTGTGCAATTACACTCTCGTTCATCAGGCGTTTTGGCACCGGGCATGCTTTACTTCTTTGAGCATTTAAGTGCCTTTAAGTGGTCGTACTCATCCTTACCAAAAAGAAGATTTACATTCTAACCCAAAATCGCAACAAGCTGCAATGCGATATAACAAAATAAATGGAAAATGATTCAACGAAAAATTAAAAGACACCACAGCTGGGGTCATCAAAGAACGTTTTCAGGCTTTTATGCAGTCTTGATGTTTTGTCTTACTTTTCTATTGTCTCAGATTTGTGAACTTGAAGTCAAACATAGATTCAAGTTTTTTGAGGGTTAGAAGCCTTTGTTAATAAAAAACTTCGATATTTGCTGCACATCCCTTCTTGTAACCAAGTTAAATACATTCCATGGTCTACCTTCAAAGCTAGTTAATTGGCGATCAAGTCATGACGTTTGACTAAGCTCCTTTCTGCATTTGGTGGTTGTACTACATCTAGTGGGTCACCTAAAATAACAACAAATTACAGAACCTCAACAATCAGTGGACAGAAAAGCTGCTCTAAAGATAACTCACATATGTCTGTAGTGGAGACAACCCTGCTGAAGTCGATGGCATTTGATTACATTTTCTTGAGGCACAAACACGTGGCCATTTTTTTAAATTTTTGAGGCAAATAATGCTGTAATTAGCATTACCACTGTCTGCGATGTACATGGGGTTGGCTGTGCAGTGTCCTTCAGGATCTTCATCAACGCCAAAGTAGGTTGGTTTGTCAAAGGACGCAAAGAATTGTTGTCCAATGTCCGAGCGCCATTCTAAGGACAAAATTTGAGTCAGGTTGAAAGGAACTAAGCAGAGTGTCCAACTATAGTAGCAGCAGACAGGGCTGCGCGTAAAACGGTTAAAGAATAAAACAGTAGTTTGACAAAATAAGCTCAGGTTGAGTGCCTCGAAATGCCTTTTAACCTTTCGCCAAAGGTAAGGGAAAGGTTTACACGTAACTCCTCGAGGGATTTTCCGAAGGCAAGCCGAATCTGCATTCACAGCATGCCTTAAGGCCCGGGCTGCTGATTTGCCAGCGCAGAGGGATGTCTTTACCAAAAAACTTACTGAGAATTAAACAATGTAAACAAAGTGAATCAATGCACCTTTAATATCCTTTAAAGACTCCCCAAATATTTATCAACCCAGTAATTTTTCCTCCCTTATCAACGCTAGACCTTATATAGTTGTGGCCAACATTCCTGGACTCTGCAATGGCAACGAAAATATCACCACTTTACTTCTGACCTATCACCTTCTGCGAGAAATTCTTCAAGGCAATGTTACCACATGGAATCATTTCGACATACAAACCCTCAACCCAGGTACTACTCACTCTCCAACGTCTTCTTAATGTCTGTAGACTTAAGACTACCAGAACAACGCATAATTTTATTAGTATCAAACTCGAATGTTACCAATTCTTGCCTGTCGAACGATAACATATTCTGCCTCGAAAGGGGTCCATCCTATCTTCATTCTCCATTGTTCGGAGCAGCCTCCCTTTGTTATGCCATTCCCTTTTCACTAAGTTTCTCGTCTCGCACTCAAGCAGACCTCTATAACCTTATGCGAGTTGAGCTAACGGAATCGAAAACAAAACTTATGCCATCGTTACCCTCTATTGAATCCAGTGTTTACGATCTACCTCATCCCGCTGCTTACCCCTTGTTCGCAAAGATTTCTATAACCACCAGAAATCTGTGGTCAACTGCCGGACGATTAACCTCAAACGTTTGTAGAGAAGCAGCTGAATTGAAGCGCTTTCTGAAATGGATCTTAACATCTCATAGTGCTAAAGAGGTTCTAGATGATGCCTTGTGTGTCAGAGTTGATTCTGCAACGTCAAACAGGGTACTTAAAAGCGACTTAAGTAGTATAAAGTGTCGTCAAAATAAGGTCCTAACCTCTGTGGACGCCTATGCTCAACGTGACACCGAAACATTGGACATTGAAGGAGAGGACGGTGATCTTGACACTCTCACGATCCTCTTGGTAACTGGAAACTGCTTTGGGATTCTACTTTTTGTTTTTGGACTCATGTTGATAAGACGATTTTTGAATCAGCTAGCTGAAATCCGCAATGACGTATGGATGATAAAGGAGTTGGATTTAATTCCATCCGATTCGGAACGCTTGGAGTCCTTCACAACACTAATTTCACAGGTATCATCCCGACAGAGCTATAGTCAAATTGATCTCCGAGAAACCTGCCAACGCTGCTCCATTGCCACCCCTTGTTCGAGTGTTGCCGACATGCGAACAATATTCGGCATCTACAAGTCGATCAGTGTGACCCTGTGTGCCACTCGCATTCCTCTGTCAACCGCATTCGACTACGCCACACGAAAAGCACTCATCGGATTACGCAAAATTTCGCACAGCAACGTTCTTCGCTTTTATGGTCTTGCTAACCTTGGCGACAAGGACATTCGAACATTCCTCGATGGAATTGAAAACGAGGCATGGAGATTTGCTCCAGAAGATGACATCTCCGATAACCAAGACTTTGCCATGTGTAATACGGATCTTCCTTACTACTATGCAGTGCGAGAACAATGCACAGGCGAGAGCATCTTTTTCTTTATGCACTGTTCATCCATGAATTTCCCTACAGAAGCGAAAATACCGGTTATTGTTCAGCTCATTGACGCCGTCGACTACCTGCATGGCCATGGAATTGTCCACGGCAAGTTAAATTCCCAGTGCTGCTACTTTGATCACAATTTTAACATAAAGGTGAGTGATTGGGAGCACTCTGAAATGTTGGAAAAGTATCTCCGTCTACACACCACAGATGTGTACCTTCCTTCAAAATTTATTGCATTCTTGCAAAAAAATAGTGTGATACGATCCACATCTGACAAGAAGAATCGAATTTTACAATGTCTCAACATGAATGGCGTAATGCGGTTGCGATGGAGACCGCCCGAATGTTTAAGCCTTGAACTTCCATTAGTGAAGAAATCGTTTTTGCATCCTCCAAATCCCACTAATGATAGGAACGAATTACATGAGCTTGCAGAAGGAGGCGAAAACGATGGAGAAATTAACTGTGCTGAGATACCTCTTTCACACTTCCAGGATCCAACTGTTGATATTTACAGCATTGGAGTGCTTATCAATGAGGTGTGGTCCAGAGCAATCCCCTACTCGGAAATTGATCCTGAATACAGAGATGAGTTTCAACTTCTTGACGCAATCTCACGTGGTGATTTAAAGTTGGAGATATCTCCATCCATACCAGCAATTGTATGTTATTATATTGAAGGTATTTTGTGTCTAAGTGATCCACTAATCTTTTGGATTTCGTTGTGACTTCGCAGTTGGAAAACATTGTTAATGACTGTATATCCTTGGTGCCCATGAATCGCCCAAATATTTCGTCATTGAAGAAGCAAGTCAATGATCTGGCTGATACAACACAGACAGGACTTGATGTCTACCTGGATATCATGGACAGGTGAGTAGTCAACCATAACGCCTTCAACAACTTAAAACTGTCATTTTCTAATAGAAGAATAAAGGACACTGAAAGGAGGGTAGCAAACTTAGACGAGGAGGAGAGGTGCTTAAATGAAGTCCAAGAGGCTATTTTTAGAGAATTCCTACCCAAATCCCTGGTTGAAAATGCCCTATTCTCGATCTCGCATGAAATTGACGAGAAGACAACTCTCGATCGCTGTTTTTCTACATCACGATATTCTCGAGTGACTGTTTGTGCCCTTCGTCTGCTTAATTTCAACGAATCCACACAGACATTACCTCTAGATGAGGTAAAGACTCGGATTTAATGCTCACACTACTTAGGTATTTTTAGCTCTTAATCGACTGAGTAGGATGCTGACAAACATTGTCGAGGATTGGAAGGTCTTGCGCATTTCTTCATTCGGTAACATCAGTGGTAATTTTTAAGTAAACTGATAAACGTGATAAAGACATCTGAGTCGTGGTTGTTGGTAAATCTAACCTAGGAACAATGATGATGATGACAAGTGATCCACAGAGTGAGGACAATGATGCTGCGAAGCAGGCTATTTCCGTGGCTGAGTGTGCTCTTGATCTACACAACTGTCTTCGATGTTTCGGAAAGGTACCAAGGACAGAAGTAGAGCCCGAATTTGCTATCGCTTTGGATACCGGAGCAGTGTCTATGGCATTAAGGAATGGCAGTGCCCCAACGTAAGCTCAGATTCGCCAGATGGAGATTGATGTTAACAAAATTATTGCATGCATGAGCAAGGAATCCAAGAAATGCTTCGATTGCTGCTCAGCAGCTCACGATTTGCATTGTTAGCCTTCAAGCACTGAAAGGAGGCAGAACCTAAGAAAACTCACACGGAACGACGAATAAGGCACTGCGGAAGCAATGCTTAATGTTGGTTTCAAAAGAGAAAAGTTGTGACATTAATACCAAGCTGTTTGAAGAAAAATCGAAAAATACTAGAAAGGCGTATATCATTGGGAATGAATGAGTACTTATAGCGCTTCCGCATCTAATGCGCTTCCTTGAAACAAGATTGGTTAAATAAATTTTAAAATTAGTCGTCTTTATCCTTGCATATTTTTGATTTAGGTGAAATCATGATAACTATTTCGGGATGAACAGTCACGTTCAAGATAATCACCCCAAGCTGGCTAGCGCTTTTTGAAGATAGCACAATATAATAAATCAAAATATTGTTATTTGAGATTTTATCTTAATAGCCTAAGGCTCACAAAATTGTTAACTTTATAAATTTAGCCTCTGCGTTTTCGGAAAGGTCATGCAAAGTGCGCGCGATCTTCTGAGTTTTGCTGGTCGTAAATTTGTTTGCGTCAGCAGTGCAACTCGAGAGCTTTTGGAGGCTTCGGGTCGATTCAAAATGGAGTTGGTCTCTTCTCATGTAGATCTGAAGCATTTTTACATTAAAACAGGGATTTTAAATTTTACTTTTATATCACCACTTTCGAACTTTTCAGACCGATTTTGGAGAAGTTTACAGTTTGGGCAAAAAGAAGGTAAGAGCTATATCTTCGAAACTTCTTAAAAGTACCACATTTTTTCACTCATATTCTTTCAGTAAAATCCTGCCAGAGCCAAGGCAGGCGTCTCTTTTCCTGCGTGGATTGCGATCCAAATGGAAATGGGAAACTACATTGTGATTCACAATAAATCTCAAAAGCACCGGGTGCGTTTTCGTTGGGGACTTTTCAGTGTTTTTAAGGGTCAATTTCTGGCAGACGAACGTTAAATGGGCTTATGTATTCTGAACTGGAATGATATGAGCAAAGCCTTGCCTAAAGATTAGTCAGTTCGTACGAGTCATCACGTTATTTGTGCATTTTTATTGGCGTATGCATCAGATTCTCAGTTGCTACTTACGTCTTTTGGAATTAGTGCTTGTGATTGTGTTGTGGATGGAATCCTTGTCACGGTTAGTTTTGTACTTCCAAGTCATCAGAAAGGCTATTTTAAGCCAAATCCAAGGCATCGTTTATGGATGTCTTTGTCACTAAAAGACGTTATCGTATTTAGTGCGGCCGGATAAGCACTAGAAGAACAGAAAACCGTACGATCATGGTGATACTGAAAGCATTTGGAGGTGACACTGTTATTATTATTTTAATGCGCTTACCATGCTATGGCAGTAGGCGGCAGTAGTTGTTTGCGCAGAGTCGTGCAGACTTTTGCCGAGTTCTTTCCACCTCGCGGGACAGCGGCTATAGATGTACAGACCATTACTTGAGATCTTTGATTCTGGATGGCTGTTGTATAGGCTGTGGGTACCTTTTGTCATGGCATTTCTTTCTGGATGTTTAATCCATCAAAAATTGGGTGAACAGTAAACATTAAGAAATTGACAAATGAAGAAGTTAGGGTGGCTGCAGGATCTTTGCTAGAGCTGAGGCTTCTCAAGTAAGTTCTGAGCTGTGTGTACAGTTGGCCTAGCATTTTTTCGAAAAAAATGGGATCGGTTGTTAATATTTGAAATTAGTTGTCTTTAATGTCGAGAGCTGAAGCCAATACGTTCCGTTCCACGCAGTCTCCGAGTGGTATGTGCAGTGGTCTCCAAACAATCCACTGCACCCTGAGTACACTATGTTGTGTCTGTGATGTAGCAAAAGTTGTAGTTTTGACAATCACCTCCACCAATATTTCTGGTAATAAGTGGCCACCCCTGCCTATGTATCGATGAAGGCGATCATATGAATGCACTGGCTGGGTATTAGAAGGGTATGCGTGTGGATGCCAGAATCGAAGAATGCAGAAGCGGCAACGAAACCGATTCTTTGAAGGCATTCATTGTGCTACAAAATATACTTATATTGCAAGGGTCGAAAAAGTCATACTCTACAGGAGTCGCTGATAAATGATTAAGGGTTAATTTCGTAGTCATGGCCAAATTAGGTATTAAATCTTCTTGGGGTTACGATGAGGGATTTTGGGCTAACATGCAGGTGATCATACGAGGAGCAATGTGTGGTTTTACTTACTACTTTGGAAAGCAAAATTGGGTCCTGCACTAACTTGCCACAACGGCACAGCATTCCTTTTTATCAAGATGGATCGCAGTTTCCCAAGGCTAATCTTATTGCTATCACGCAACATTGGGCATTTGGAGTCGAAAATTGACGAATGGTGAGACACGCGCCTATCTGAGCTTAAAGCTACCATTCTATTCCTTTTCACATTAGTTGAAGACACCCACATAGATTCGTGTACCCATTGGCTTAATTATGACACCAGCACGTCAAGCCGTCGGATGACGCTAAGACCCCGGTGATTGTGGTATGACATGGGGTGGCACGATCAGACCTCAAGGCCACAGAGTTGTCGTCTCTTATTTGGAGAAAACAACCGGTTTCCACCTCTAGAACATCATGTGGAGTAAGCGGCCGAGGCTTTTGACTAGACAAACAGTGTTACATTTTGGCAGGAGGACAGACGAGTCCATGCCGTCTTAGGCAGAGGCCATCGAAACACTGCCGTGCTCGCATACTATGAATGCACAGGACTACTGGGACAAATTGTCATTCACATAATCATGAGATGATCTCTCCATGGCATGCAATATGAAGGCGGATGAGCGGATTTAACTGGAGACAGTGTAGTCTACAAAACGAATGGGGCTCGACTATCTCTTGCATGCAGGTCGAACGTGCTGTTAAAAATAGATGATGAGAGGATGTTCCCTTGCTTGATGATAGAGGGAGACTGATTTTGCTAGCTATGGGTCACTGTATAAAATATAAGTATCAACATGGTTTAAGGTGTGCGAAATCATGCCACTCCTCGCCTGCACCTAGCGAAACCAAGGGCTGGTGTGAGCGAAGAGAGTTGACTCCAAGGACATCGTGGCATTTGCTCCATAAAGTGCTTCCATTAGGAGGAGTGATGAATTCATACTCTTTTATAAAATGCTAACTAAGCTATCTCAAGCATACTTGTTTACTCATTAAAAGAATACTTTGTGTACGCCTAGTAAAAAGGCAGTTCAACAACACAGCGCACCACAATGAAACTGAAAGTCCAATAGCTACTTATGAAAAGTTTTGCCCTGTTCGATAAGGTGGCGATGGATAATGCCGCCCGTCAACACCCCCCTCACCTTTATCCAAATTTGAACCATAAGTTAATGCCTTTCATTTCTTGGCAGAACATATGAAAGGGGAGATGAAAAGGACTAGATGACAAAATATTGGGAGCGTTTGCAATGGGAAAAACAAGATTAGGTGTTGTTTTGGCCTTTTGCAACAAAGTGATGTAGCTGTAATTATTTCTCTTAATTTTAAGAGATCAGCGGAATAGAAGATCCCACCTTTATGCTGACATGTCATAACGTCTCAATCACTACTTTATTTCTCCAGAAATAAAAACAGTAAATACAAACTGGTCATTCTTGAAGGCTGTCGAGCTGTCTAAAATCTGATGTGTACCAAGCAGACTAAAATAGGAAATTTAGCGTAAGCAAGAAGTTGAAGTAGTTGAAGATGGAGTCACTATGTATAGATCGCTTACTCAATAAAACCGCAGCACAGAGCTTGAAGTGATCTGAATTAAAAAGCAAAAAGGAGAGAAATGGGTCACATTCTTAGGTCGCAAAGCATAACTAAGATTTACATCATTCTATCCACTTACTTGCTGTAGAAGCTAAAGAGAGAGAAAATGACACTTTAATCCAGCTCATTAAGTAAGCAACAGTGACGTTTGTGACAGGTTGCGGGGACATCAACTTACTCCAGTCGATTGTGTGAGTGAGGTATTTATCACCCACTTTGCAGGTGTAGAAATCGATTGCATCCTTCTGCTTCACAGTCAGAGTTAGGACCTTATGTAAAAGAATATTTCGAACCTCTAAAGGTAACAATAATTGACAATAGTTTTAATGGGTTTTAGAGAACACTAAAGTGACATCACGGACAGACTCACCCAGATTCAACATTTGTTCATATTGTGCGGTTTTATCAAACGGCTTCCCAACCAGCCTTAACTGATAATATTTCTGCATTTTTTCACCTGTATACAAGGTCACCTGAAAAGTGACGTGACGATTCACCAACTCTACGGTTTTATTATCCTCTGTTTTAGCTTAAAGCAAATAAAAGGTATGGCAAGCAAGGCAAAAAATGATCAACTTTAAAGAAAAAGTTGTGAACAAACCGCAGGCATTGTGCTGAAGATGGAGCATGTGATCGTCACTGAATGATTATTCCTAGCCCGGACTATCAGTGGTACTGAGTACTGCGGCTGGATTGAGCCTAAATTTTCAAGCATAATATGTAACAAAATGAAACATTTGGGTTCATTTCGTCCTTCTAATTGATTCTTTCCTCCTTCAATCTTATGAATACTTCAGTGAACAGTGAAAATAGGCAACATAAAATACATTATTGATAAATGAATTATGGTAAAAAAGGGAGAAAAACGAGTGTGCAGTGTAACAGTGCTTAACTCTTACCTGCGGTCGAATCGTTCCAGATGTTGTTTACAAAGAACAAAACGGTAATGGGAACCAAATCCTGAGGTCCCCTAAATGTTGCCCACTTGAGTTTACTCGACATTTTACCTCTCAGTGTCACTGTCATCATATCGGTGTAGTCTATGGGTTAAAAGTTCGCAAAAGTTGGGATTTTCCACCAAAATTTATACAAAATAGCAAAATCCTGCCCACTCTGTACATAGGTGCACTGAAAAAGGGACGAGGAACAGCTTCCATCCTTCAGTGATATATTGGCAGAACCAGTCAGAAGATACTGAAAAGATGCAAAATTGTCCTCTCAGTTGTTTTGCGTTTTACTCTCAAAGCAGCTTATCCGTTAGCGTCTTACTGTATACGGACCAGGAAGAGTAGTTTTGTAATTAAAGGCCTCACTTTCCCTCGCTTTAACAATACGAGTGTCGCCCGGCAATGTCGTGTAGGTGCCCGCTTAAAAGCAGCAAAAAGAGGCTTCATTAGGCGACAATTATTAGTCAGGTAATGATAAACACATAGTCTTGCTTTAAAAGAGCAGAAGGGGGTCACACCGACGGAAGGGAAATCGGTGTGCTTACCGCAATCGGTGACGGTAAGTGCCACGAGGAATAGGGCCACTTGTAGCAGTGTCATCGATTTGGACTAAAAAAGTTGGAAAGTCATCCGCGTCATTTACTCCGTCTAAATAACTAATGATTTTGGCTGATTGACCTTTGTTTTTTTATGCATTAAGTATGAAGAATCAACTATTCTGACTGTCCTCTAAAGGGATGATAAGTAGTGCGCGTGTGCGAATAGCACGATGTGGTAAGTTTAAAACACAAGCGCTACTCCATAATGCGCTCTACTCACAGAGGACTGTTGAAGAAATTTACACTCTTGCGGTTGAGTTGGTTAAAAGAAGGGCTTTTATACACCAGCGTGCCTACTTGCAAACCACTCAACGCTCTCGCCACCACAATCATACATTTTGTGAGGCTTAGAGGGTTTTTATTAATTAGTCTAGCGCTTCCCTTTAACAGAAAGGCAGTATTACAAATTCTGTCAAAGTTTGAAGGAGAAATGACTACTCTCAAAAGTCTACACAGCCTTAAAGTCAAACACTAAATAAATCGTCAAATGCTCTACCCGGCTTTTTCCTGGACGTGTTTGTGGGATGATCGCAGCAATATCTTTTGATGCGTCCTCTTGATAGCATGGAACGGAGGCTGTGTGACGCAGTCCAAAGCTGAGATTAGGCCAACTACGTTTTCTAAATCGACGAAGCCTAAAAAGTGGAAATAATGTGGAAATTGGGTCCTGGTCTGCTACAGAGTCTTGAAGATACATCAATACTCTTGTGACCCCCCTTTATTTCAAGGATTTGGCTTCACGACGTCATGAAGGACTTTAGATTGCAGCGAGAGGCTACACAGTGTTCACATGGATCTGGTCGGCGCAGAATTCGGATTAGCAGTGAGTAGGTCCAACTATCACGCAAATTATAATGCTAAGTCGAATCTGTACTTGTAACCTTTAATTGATTCAAACAGAAACACGGAGCGGTAAATATGCATTCCTCTTATTCTTTCCTTTGCGTTAATATCTTTTCTGAATGCATTCATTTGGCTTAGAACTTGGCTAGCTAAGGACTCAATTGCCCGTTTAAGAGCATACACTGATTCGTTGTTCTTCTTTCTTTTATCATGAGGAGAAATAGCACATAGACCTTAATGCAACCAAAATGCCAAAATTGAAGGAGTCCCATAATGCAAGGAAACCAACAAGCACCCAAGTTAGAGTCTACTCAACTGATCTCTTTACATCGAATAAAATGGAATGAATGAATGAATGTACACTTTGATCGTATTGATGTACAAAATGGGGGAGAGGATTTGAAGAAGCAAACTTTATGGCTTTGTTCCAGTCAGCCTCTTCTTTCGACTTCTCACATCTCACCGAGGAGAAGGACAACTGAAGGGAGGCAATGCATGACATGGTTGGAGCGGGAGTGAGGCGCCACACTGTATTTAAAAGGCGAGCAACTTACGAATGAGTGAAACTAGTGTCACCTTGACTTGAGCTAAAACATAAAAGGTACTCAATCATTTCATTTAACGCCTTCGGTCACCAATTGTGTTTGGCTGTTATAAATCCATTTCATTATCTCGTCGCACTTATCCTCAATTACTGAGTGTATATAAATGCCATCGATTGTCAGAAAGTCAATGGCTGCTTACCAACTCCAGATTGAGCTATAAAAATCAAGGTGAGACATTTCCATTAGAAAATGAGAACGGTGAAATGGGTAAATTTGCTCTCCTCCGACTGACTCACTCCAATCAATTGTGTGGGTCAGCCAGTGGTCACCCACATTGCAACTGTAGAAGTCGATGTCAAACTTCTTCTTGACAGTCAGCGTTATCACTTTGTGCATTAGGATATTCCGTGCTTCTGAAAAAATTTCCAAAGTACTAATTTCAAAAAAAATCTGCGAGTAGTGAACAATTAAAGAAGAATCGTATGGAAAGTTAGGAACTTACCAAGATTCAAGATCTGTTTGTGCTCTTTTGTTTCATCTTTTGCTGGTTTGGCAGAGTAGTAGAGCACATTGTCCACTCCAGTGTACAAGTTGTACTACAAAGAAGGGACGATATGTGGGTCACACACAACGAATTAAAATGTGCTGTCTACTAAGAAATGCATCTTTTCTCCAGACCCGTGTAACGTTAGCTGATTGCATTCATTGAAGCACTTTCAAGCCTCTCTTCACTACCGGTCCAATAGAAGGGCTAAAAATTACCTTGGGATTCGATGCAAATATGGAACATGTGAGCGTCACTGAAGGTAGTCCATGAGCTCGAACAATCAGAGGAACTGAATACTGAGGCTGAATGGAGCCTGAAAAACCAATGGAGACGATTATCTGGACAAACAGGATCCCTTTTTGCCTCCTCATTCATGCGTCGATATTACTCACTAAATTATGCATTTTTTTTAAAATGTACTCATTCCTCACTCTCTGGCGTGGATCGTACTTTTTACTTGGCAAATACCCCTTAAAGACCACTTACTGATTGAGATAGCGTTGCCAATATTCGCAAACACTTTTAAGTAGGATTTGACTTACGTCAACCATTTTAAATGAGCAAGTGGCGTGATATTTTGTGCAACCTCTTAGTTTTGCATATTAGATGGTCCTACTTAGAGATTTAAACCGTTGCTGCGCACAGCAATGGACTCAAAGCCTGTTCAAAGGGCATTCTTACCTGCACCCAAGTCGTTCCAGACATCGTCCGTGAAGAAGACAACAGCAATTGGAACTTGATTTGATGCTCCCATGAAAGTCACCCATTTTAGTCCGTAGGACATGTAGCCGGTCATCTTCACATTCGTTTGTGTGCTATCAACTGCAAAGATGGGTCAGGTTAGAGATCCTCATGATCCCATTCACTTCCTTTAATTCAAAGCACTAAGAGACACTTTGTTTGCCATACCTTCATTGTAGGTACAGGTGAAAAAAGGTGTCGAGCAGTGTCCATTCTCGAGAGTAACATTGTGGATACCGGAAACCAAGTACTGCAAAAACAAATGAGTTTGGATTTTTGATGTCGGTCGCACTTCTCAAAACCAAGCGTCGAGGAGCCTTCCATGTGAGAAGAGGAGAGCTGTATCAAATGACAACTGTTTAACACTGCATATCTTTTCTTTCCCGCATCCCTCACTTTTACGGAATTTACTTTTACTCTCTTTTCGACACTTAAAAACAAACAACGATTTTTATAAAATTTTGCCATTAAACTCGGAGCAATTGTGCCTACCAAGTATTTGCCAGGAAGGGAGGTAGCGTAATTGAAGGGTGCATTTTGCTGTCCCTTGACAACTCGAATATCTCCCTGCAAGGGTCTATAAAGTGACGCTAAAACAAGGGAGGATGAAAGACTTTAACATCTTCTTGTCTCGATGTAGCATGGTAGAAATTAATGCATCTCAGATGGATATAAATTAGTTGATTCTGTGACCCAACCTGTGAAGCTTTTAATGAGAACCAAAGATGAAGCAAATAACTGTGCGATCGACGATCTCACCTGACGGTACTAACTGCACCACAAGGAAGAAAATCAGTGGCATCAGCACCATTGTTTAGATGGAGATGATATGGCTAAAAAAAACTGAAATTCGTTTTTCACATGTATGATAAAATTATTTTTATTTGGGCAGAGCAAAGATGCTTGCCAACAACTTGGTTAAAGTTCGGATGGAGTTTTGGAAAGGGCGCTTATACCTACCCTTGTTGCGACTCTGAATGTCTTTATATACGCATTGACTTCGAAGTGAGACAAAGTGACAGCCTATATCACGCAAGCAAACGTACGAGGAAACCCACCTTCTGTAAGACAACTCGTAGCAAGCGTCATTTTCGCACTCAAATAGAAGAGTTTTTATACTCACGAAAGCTGTGCAACCACTCGTGCCCCATTAACACACTCAAATGCCTCCGCATGCGTAACAACACCCAAAGTGTGTGGTGGTGTGATGGTGGCACTAGCCGATGTCTCCTAATGCCTCCGTGCTCGGCGTACAATTGCGGCTGTCTTTGGTCAGGTAAAAGCTAAGTATCAGGTGATCGTTCACATTCAAGACCATTGCTGAAAACCACGAGTCTCTCATCGTATTTCCGTTTAATTAATTTCACCCCTTGATGAAAAATATAAATTGCGATGCTCAGCACTTTATTAACTGCACAATACGTAAAAACTAAGTAATTCAATTCGCGTAATTCAACTTTCTGTTGTTAAAAGAGCGAAAAGACAGCCTGAAATGGAAAAAAAGTGAAAACCTACAACATGGGAGAATTTTTACAGGCAACATGGTAACATGTTACCCACAATTCCCAGAATGTAAGTCAGCCACCTCATCAGCATGCATGGACAAGCACTGAAGCTACTGACTTACCTATCACAATACACCAAAGCACAGATTGCCTTGGAGCTAAAGTGGACAGAGGATGATAAAAGACAAACTTTAAGGCACTCAAAGGAGTCGGCGATTAAGGTGAGTAACTTACCATTACTGAAGGGAGCTACAATAACCAAAATTAGTTGTCTTACCATTTCATAGAAGATTGTTGCGTAAGTATTTCATCAAAATAGCCAAGCAACTTCGTGTAGCTGTACGTGGCAGAAGTGAAATCGCTACAAAGAGCTTCTCAAGTTATGCTTTACTGGCTAAAGCGGTCATCAGCGTAAACCATCACGTTTCTCTTGGAGGAAGTCATGTTCTGTCAATGGCTTTTCCATGAACCACTGTGTCACCAAAAGCAAGCTGATTATTTTGTTTTTGTCTTACTACTTTCTGCTTCGTAGCTACAATTTTCTGATCTAATTTCTGAGTCATTGTTCACTGCCAAAAAACAAACGAGACATGAAAATGATCGCATAAATGATTAAAGGCAAGGACTAATGAGCGGCACCATTCGCCTCTTTCAACTTATCATTTCTCATTACGCCCAAACTGAAACGAGCTGGAGGTAAGTGTTTGCACGATAAAGCTGTGCTCCTCGTGTCTCCACTTTCACGGCTCGTATGTATTTCTTCTACGTGGCTCTCCTTTGTCATCCTTTTGTTCCAATAAGCTAAACCGAAACTAGCAATGTTTGGATAGCATTTTCACTTTCGCTATGCTCCTACTCTTTTACGAGGCTTTCATAAACAGTAAACCTACAATCCCATCCGTCAGTGGCTGCAGACATCTGACGAGTTGAGGGACCAAAATAAAGCGTTAATTGTGTAAATGTCGCGAAAGAGAGAATTGGCAGTCGACTGCTTACGGCGCTTATGCATAAATACGCGCACTTTTGAGACTGCAACAACTTGCAACTCAGATCAGTGAGCTGCGCCCACTGCCAAGAAAGATTTTCTGCTTCAAAATTGAAGTCTTCAGTGCGTCCCTTGCTTATATCAACCCATCAATGGAATACTCAACAAAAGGCTCCTTGATAATTCGATAAAACAGTTGATTCTAAGTGCTTGTCACAAGATAAGTTAAATTTGTGAGGGGTTTCTCCGTTCTTTCTTTGGAAATGGCCAAGATTTTTACTCTCATATCGAAATTACGTTTGTTGTAACATTTTGTCAAATCTGTGTCACAGTGAAAAGGAAAGGTTGATCGTAAATGAGTTTGCATGGGATAAATTACTTCAAGGCGACCAACCAACCAGGTGATAAAACCGAAAACTCGTATTTTGCTACCTAATTGAATTTCAGTGCTGTGATTTGAAAATTGATGCATGCAGGACTTCACTTGCATGGGAGTGGATGGTATAAGGAATGAGCATACCCCATTCAATCATGTATGAGATCCAGTTCGAACCGTCGGTGCATCCGATGTAGTCTATCCGGAACCGTCGCCTCACTGTTATTTCGTACGTGGTTGAAGTGTTGCCCTTCATAACATCTAAATCGAACGTCGACGTTGCTGGTTTGTAATAATATGCTCCCCAAAACTCATTTAAGCATGCAAAAGCACGATGTGGCTAACCAAATTTAACGATTTCTGAGAAGTTGGACGTATAATTCGTAGCCTTTCCGTCAGATGACAAGTTGTACACTAGGATAGAGTATTTTGTTGCGACAATTGTGGACTAAAAACAGTCGTGTAGATGATGGTGAATAATCCAGAGATAAAAACTCTGACTAACTGTTTATAAAGTGTGCTTACGGACGTTCCATTGCCAATGAAGGTGCAGGTGAATTTGACATTTGTCCGATTGACAGCATCAATGAAGAATGATTGATTCGGATCAGGAACCAAACCATCTGTGACAGTGAACAACAAAGGATGCACGTGGCAACATAAGCTGGAGAAAAAAAATAATTAATTTAAAAATGCTCAGATTAACCTTCATTTGAAGTAGTCCAAACCTCATCGGGAAATACGGCGATTGATATGGTGATCACGTATTTATTTTTTGGAATAAACTTGATCCACCTCATTTGGCTTGAAATCAATCCCGTCAACAGCACCGTCGCATGGTACGATCGCACTGAAATAATTTTGTTAAAAGAAATTTGGGATGAATAGAAATTCTACAAAAATAGGTAGCTTTAGTTTTAGAATTGGAAAAAACGACTAGGCGAACTGCTCGAAAGTAAGGATAGAGTAGATGAATGCGTGTGAAGCACCAACCTTGGATGTATTCACAGTTGAAGTAGCTGGTGGTGCAATTACCGTTAACTATTGGAAAGCTCTCATTGTTAACAACGATGGCCTACAATGAAAGTGGCTTGATTGCATCCGAAACATGTCCCACCTCATACACATCCGGCAGAACAAATTGGAGCTCGAAGCTGCTGTTGACTGGACCCTTTATTATTCTTTTGTCACCTTCAAGCGAGTTGATTTGCGCATCTGGAAATGAGCAGCAATAATGCAAAGTTCTCAAAATTCATCCAAAAGTTCGAGATCACCGTAAATGCCAGATATCACATTGCGTGCACTTTTCCATTTCCATTTTTCGGGATTTTTATTTAAATACATTTCCTTCAACCTGCCTGTATTCAATTTTGGAGACGAAGGTAGTCTCCTTAAGTAAACAGGAACAGTGGATTGTTTTAGCATCACTATAGACCTTGAAACTACATATTTTTGGAAATCCACAGCCGAAGTGAAGCATACATAAACAACAAAACTCAACGTGAGAGATTGTTCAAGGAGGCATGAAAAATGCAGATGCATCAAGTTTGGTAGAAGCAGCAAAAAGTTCTCACAAGAATCCACGCAGAGGGTGATAATAATGAGAATTGCGACTTTTCCTAGCATAACTGGGGGGATCAGCTTGCGTGGATAGAAGTTGCGCAAATTTAAGGACTTCATGTGATGTCACCAGACTTGCCTGCGACGATTGGTGCACCCGCTATGACCCTTCGACAATGGGATTGGTAGCCTGATGGCGATCACAGCACAGTTCCAGATCGAGACCAACTCGTGATGCCATAAGCCTAAGACCTCTAAAGTGAAGTTCTGTTTTTACTGCCAACAGACTCACTGCTAGCATCATAAACAAGGGAGAAGCCTGGAAATGGTGGGATCGTGCCATATGAATCAAGTTTGCTTGTGTAGCTTTCAACTGAAAGCTTGTTACAGCAAACTTTACTACCTAGAACAAGGAGTGGCACACACTGCAGCCAAATCGACACAAGTTTTGATTTTGAAAACTTAGGCAACAATTTCATTTGCATTCCATCCTTTTCTACCAAAACAATTTTATGAGGGGTTAAAGTTCGTAAGCAGCAGAATGATGGCAACACTTCCTTTTGCAGATCTTAAGAGTATTTGCTACAGCGTCCATTTGTCCCACTTATTTTGAAAGCCTTGCAGTCCTTTCCCAAATATAGTGACAAGTTATTCAAATTATGCCTACCTAAAGTAATCGTAAGAAGTAATTCGAAGTCGTCAGAATGCCTGACTTACAAGCATTATCGTTTCTAAACCAGAGATTTACTGTTTCTCCATAAACAAAGGTAGCTGATTTTAAATTTTTGATGCATATTAGGAGTCTTTTTTAAAAATAAACTTCTCTAGACTTTACCGACTCTTCTAGCTGACTCTGTTCTACCACCGGCAAAAAACAACTGTCTTGTTGAGACAACGTCTTTCGATCCATACATTGGTTTTCAGTGGCATCTAGTAATGGCGGAGAGGATCCTTTTTAAAATCAAAAGCTGTTCGTAAGCGATTATGCGTAAGAACTTGGTCATCCCGATAACCCATTTGGGAAACGTTTGCTCTCATCTCCACAATGCGCTCGAAGTGGCATTTTTTGGGTCAGCTCCTTTCAGCCATCCAGAAGAAATTCTTGTTTTCATCCTGCTAAACTTTATACCAGTGGATACGGTCTGTAACAGTAGCCTTGCTTCCTCGCCCTTTTTAATACAAGTTAGTTGATTTTATACTAAAAAGCACAAAAACCTCCCCACCTCCCTTTCACTTACAAAACACTTGGATTTACACATCCTTTTTTGATCCCCGATCACCCCTTCATCGCGCGTTTATCATATGCAGAATGGCGCGATAGCTGTAAAGGTCGCCTTTGCGTATTAAAATGTGCGCGGAGGCTGGGAATGAGGAATGTCTCAGAAACCGCTCAAACCTCACCAATCCATTTACTTGCCAAGGAAAATTTTACCACTCTGAGCAGAGTCAGCATTTTTAGTTGATCGCCTCAACTTTGCTGTCCAAACAGAGCAATTCAAATTCAAAATTTATATTAATGGGTTCCCTAGTCTACGAATGCCTTTTGGATAAAACACCTTAGTTCACTCATGTCAATAACAACAGGCCTTACTCGAAAGGCTTTTTAAATTACTAGTTTCGGGTTTTTAGGTACTATTTCAATGATTGCTTAATGATATCAAGGCCATGCATCCTCTACAGTGACAACTAATTGAAAGATTGATGAAAGACAAGACGTATCTTATGCTCTTGTTTTAGATTTTGGTTATTGCCGCCACAGGTCACACCAACGCTTTGATGAAGATATTAGTAGAATGCCAAAAGAAGGAATGTGGAGCATTGCAACTATGCCTTGCATTCGTGGAAACAGAAGGACCAGCATCAATAGACGGGCAGTTTACATCTCTCTCTCTTCAAATACATTGTTGCCTATTTACTTGTGGCACGGAGTCGGCATCAACAGACAGAGGTCGAAGCGAAGTTAGAACTGCTGGAGAGATAAGGACACTCGAACTTAATTAGTCGCAGTGCCGATCGACTGCAAAGATAGACCAATTATTCCTAATCTACTACAGTAAAGTGTGAGGAAAAGCAGCAACGCATTAAACCTGGATACTAAAATGGTGGCTCTCGAGAATTCCCATTTCTTAAAATGGAAGAAATTACATATTCCCCCTTATTTTAAACAATAGCTTCGACTAAACCACCTCACTGCCTTCATCCTAGACGCAGTTCACCAAATTTTGTCTGGAATCCCTCCGATTCAATAGTACAGACTCAAAGAGGTTGTGACTGTATTATTTCCTAGATGTGTGGATGACCACAGCACCAATGATAGAAAAAAAGGAGAAGGTCGTCTTACTTCTCCGTCTGCTGTTGCAAACAGATTTCTTCAGTCAAGCACAATGTTCTTGACTCGGTAATGCTCGTAGTTTTTGCGGTTATTAAGCAGTCCTCTAAGTGATCAAGATGATAGTAAGAATCTACTAAATTCGAGAAATATCTGAGCGTTGCCATTCGAGCCGATTTCGGAGCATAAGGCAGCACTACCAGTGTTATCTAATGTTTTCTTTTTAAAATGCAACAGAAACATCAAGTAAGTGGAAAAGCTTGATGGAGGGAATGAACTGACCCTCGAATGGTCAACGCTTTCTTGACACGGGCGTCAATTCGCATGCGTATAACAGATATTCCACCAACTCAGAGCTAAAGGCGAGCAAGCCATATTGAACAAATGTATTGAAAAGTTCAAAGTTCAACATGATTTCCATTGACATTACACCAAGCACCAAGGCAATGCACGTTTAAATCAAAGCGAAAAAAAGAGATGGGCCTTACAAAGCCACCACAGCCGCCGATCCATGGTATAGTTTGACAAATGACGGAAGATAAAGGGAGGGAAACCCAAAAAAGAAAGTTAAAGCGAAATCAATGCTTGTGGATATACTAGAGAAGACCACTCTGGCTGGATGCAACAGAGGCTGATTTGAGTCTAGCAAAGACTTGAGCCAACCGCGTCGCATCCTCCGCCCCGGGGACCGCTAACCGCCCAGCAACTGCGCATATGTGAACGTGACCTTCGTCATCACCAGCGGCGATGTATTGTCCAGTGGTATCCCACTTAACTTTGTTCATTGCCCACTGCTTCTTGTTCAGCCACCTCGCAGTTGGGACCTAAACAGGCAACGGCAAGGGAGCAGGAGACACCGATACCGACCGAGGTAAAGTATTGAGCAAAACAACCTAATAACCTCAATGTCATCAATCAGATTCCAAACGTCCAGTCGACCGCTGCCGTCAACAGCAACAAAAAGAGCAGGATGGATGGGACTCCAGTCCACACCATAGACACACTCCGAGTAGTCATCAAAGGTGTGAAGCGGGGTATGATGATCCCGAACCGACCACAGCCGAACAGTCCAGTCCAGCGAGGAAGAGAGGAATATATGGGAGAATGAGATGGCGCAGAAACTGGGATGGGTTGCAATACCAGTCACTACTGTCGAGTGCCCTCTAAAGGGCAGTAGTCGGCGTCCACCATGACTTTCCATCGAGACGGACCGGCTGCAAACAATCTTATAAAATAGTTACTTAAAAGTCCTAAACAGAGATTATTGATAAAGTGAATGCGGTTGGACGCACCTTGAGTGACGTTGATCAGTGTAGATGCTGCCACTCTCCGTGCCGACGACAAAGTTGTTTTGATCGCCGGAGAAGAATGCCATACAGGTGGGATAAAGGTCAAAGATGCTCCCTGGAGTGGAGGGACTTTCGCAGATTCGAATGTGCTCCCGTGGGGCGCCCAACATATCTAGGCTCCACGAGCACATGGTGCCATCCGAGCTCAGAGTGATGGCATTGTGGGCGTTCTGTGAACCGATCACCTGCACTGAGTTGACTGGTTGCGTGTGCGCCAATGTAGTAAAAGTGCTTCGTTGCACCGGAGTACGCTTATTTGATCTGAAAGAAAGCTGAGCCACTTAGACCGCGGCAGAGCTCAACCTCTTCAATTGCAGCAACCCAAGCAAATCAAACCTTGATCGTAATTTCCTTGAAAGGATGAGTTTAAGAACCACCAAAGTTATGGTCCACAATTCAGCACGTTTGGACCATGTACAAAATTGCATGCAAGAACTAATTGTTCCGAATCCTTGTTTTGATGTGCAAAAAATGCATAAAATAGGGGGACAAAAAGGATTACTCTAGGACGGCCAATGTTTGCCATGCATTCGGAATTTGACTGAATCAAAGACTAAAATGCACGGCTAAATGCTCCACATAATCAGAAATTCAAAACAAACCAAATATGTAGATTCAGTTAAATGTACCATTCGTTTCCAGTTTTCACTTAAAATTAAAAAAGACATTTACAGCCACCAGGTGTCAGTGTAAAAGTAACAAAATATGAGCAAGATTTGATGCTTCGAGAAAAATCGATTTAGAAAAAAGACCAAAAAAACCAAAAAAGGTAGATATTGAGACAATCAAAGAAGTCGTTGCGGTTTCTTCTCATGATTGCCCGTGAAAGCAGTGACGAAAGCTATCCAAACTAATGAAATGTTTGAACTGATCCTGCAGCTACCCATAGAAAGGCAATTGCCCATGGCGAATAAATGACTATAGAAGAATTCTTCTGTGATCATCAACATAAGTCCTTGCCCATTCAATACAGAACATTTCTCCCATTAATCGTCGAGCTTTCAAAACCGGTCGGCTGAATTTCAGTCCACCGATTCGACTTTTCTTCCACTGTAATTTCCATAATGGACCCAAATTATTGGATAAAAACTAGAATGCGTCGGTGATGGTGTTGTACGCGTTAAAGTGGCGTGACTCTAATCAATCTTAGAGCAATCGTGTACAACAAATCAACGTGCTAAGTATCCCTCGCTTTGTTCAGATTTAGTACACACTTAAACTTGGAGGGAAGAAACGAAACTCGTCAACCGACTGGTGTACAAGCTACTAAGTCCTTCAATGAGTAGACCCGCACACCATCAAATCTTCTCATGAGGCAACGTAAGCTGATTAATTACATTAATGTTTTGTAGAACCCTGTACCTCCACTTAGCCCCAGTTTTAGTATTTCATTATCCGCTAAAAACATTACTGGCTTCACAACCAAACGAAATTCACATCGGTTATCCTACTCTAAACACTAAATTTCAGTGCGACTCAACGTTTTTGCGTCTTGGAAACGTATGTAAAAGTAAAAACACGATTTTCTAGTTACGCATTCTGCTCCCATTGTGCGACTTAGTCATTAGAACAGGGTCGCTGCCGTTGCATTAATCAGCTACACAGGTAAGGAGAAACACGCTGTTAAAACTCTGAACCATGCTTATCGAATCGACAGAAAGCTGTAGTAAAGCTTTCAATGCCAAAAGAATAGTAGCATTTGCTTCATTTTCATTCACCTCAGCAAGGGAAGATTGAGCCCACTTTCCAAACATTCATACGTACATAGCAAAGTGGTTCATCTCTTCATCCATGTGCTAGTATCTTATGATATAGAAATGTAACTAAGATAATACACCTAATCAGAATGAAAAATTAATGTAGAAGACTTGAGAAAACGCAAGACTTTCAAATAAAGGTTTACCCAAGTTAATTGAAAATTCGTACCCTATATTCAGGATTAAAAATATCAATACATTCGACATTTTAAAAATAAAACCAGCACCATCTTTCTTCGTTTTCCCCATTCAATAATGGAAAAGAAAAACAGACCGATTCGCGATCATTCGTGCAAAATCGACAACCGGGTGAAGTGAAGTTTGCAGTAGAAAAATGCCAATTAAGCGTTGAAACAGGAACCATTCCGATCTCTCCGAACCGCAATGAAAATGTCCAGATCTTAACAATCAAAATCGGTCCAGCGCTCTTACTCAACTTAAGATGAATGACAAAATAGTGAGGAAATGGACTGACTAAGTTCTAGAAACTGCCTGAATCAGCCCCCAAATTCCATTATTTATTTTACATTCGTACACGCATGAATTCTATGACAATATTAATAGGGTATTCAATTTCCATTTAAGTGGCTATCGCTTCTACTGCAGAAGACAATTTCATATTACTCTTGAGCCCTCATGCTCTCTAAATGCAGAAAAAAGCATAAAAGGATGGACGTCTACAATGCCTATATTTGGTGCAATTTGGAGTCTGCAAGTCAAGGGTTTAATAAATGCGAATGCCATACATATGTGAGCTCGACGGTGGTTTTGGTAAAGAGTTGGTTAAATTACAAAAATAAAGTAGTAAATTTTCTGCTAAACTTCTGATCCAGTATAAGCAAGCTGAAAATACAGATTTCTTGACAAACTTAGCCAATACACCCAAACATGCATAACGAAATGTGATTAGTTGAAAGCGTGTATTTGACTGTACAGACTCTATCTCCAGAATTCTAAAACTCAAGCTCAATATCATATCGATCTGTTGTTTACATTCTAATCATTAATTCGTTAATTTTACACATTTGTATAACCCCTTCGGATGGGACTTGGTAAGCTAATGCAGACCATATTGGAAAAAGTTCTCAATAATTTAGTCAAGCACTAAGGGTTAGCATCACTTTTAGGCCAAAATGAGGAGGTTCAAAAATATTCTAAATTGAACATGTTGGGGAGGATGAACTCACCGACTATCCCAGAGCACAACCTGACCGGAGTAGGTTCCACCAATAACGAGATTAGGATGGAAGCGGACCATGGCGGCGGCGGTGATAGGCTCATTGCAGTGAAAGCTGAACTCGGGTGAGCCACGAGTGGGAAACTTGAGATTCCATACCATGCAACATCCCGCTGGCTCTTTCACTGCCTCCTCATTGGCACTGTAGGCGGCCAATAAAAGCTCGGGAAAGACCGGCGACCAATCCAAATCCACCACGGCACGCCTACTGTTCCAGCGCTCCGCGTAGAGGTCCAGGATATGTGGGAGTAGCTCCTCTTGCCTGGGGAGAAGGGATAGTAATAGACGATGCCAGATTCAGATTCACATCCCTTTTGATTAACCTAGCTTATTATTACATTTCCAATCCCACAACTCGAAATGCCATGTAAACTGGCGCGAATCGGTTAAAAAATTCAGCACGGAACGTGAGAAGCGATCGGAAGAGGATATTTGTCACTAAGGCTAGTGCTGGGACCAAAGCAAGGAGTTAACACCACCAAAACCAGCTCAGACCGCAGAAAAATGTTCCATTCTTCCTGCATTTGGGGTGAATTCAGCCAGTTCACCAATACTTTTGAGAAAGATGAATGATTTCAAGATATATGCTAAGTTAAAGGCGAAACTAAATTGCTTGAAAAAGAATAAAGTCGGATTAGGTGAGGAAATCAAGCAACCTATTTGACAACCGTAAATCGATAGTATTTCACCGACGTGGTCGCATTTTTTTCGAATGAATGAAACAAGCCAGACCATGAACGAACTACAAAGGCAAGCATTAATACAAATGCGGGTACTAAAGCACACTACTTTCAATCTACTAAAATACCGACAAGTAGAATTAGAAGCGCAAACGAACAATTAAGACAGTCCCACTGCTTTGATAATAAAATAAAACAGCTCTTGCATTGAATTCATTTAGGAAGACAGTTTCTTTCCCCAAGCTCTGAATAGTGCCGTATGCATAAATCCTGTACTTGAGATGCAAGATTTAACGGAAAACATATGCGTGCCCAGGAAGACTATCCGCGAAACCGCGGCAACCAAGGCAAGTTTTACTAAAACTGAGCCCTAAGAAATAAGAAAACAATCTGCAGAAGCGCATGCTGATTCACTTAACGCACAGTACAAACAGCTTGCCCCTCCATAATCTAAAACCTCTAGAATAGTACACAACTTTCATAAAATCAAACATTGTTTTGGTACACCATTTCTATGGTACAAAACCAACGTCCTTAAAACTAACGTGTTTGATACAGAAAATGGTAAGAATTCAGAGATCGTAGAGATAAATATGTTACGGCATTCACTAACAATTTGTCACCAGGCCCCTTGTTTGGTATATCAACGCACATTTTAATTTAGACGTGAGACAATTATGATCTGCCAAAACCATAGTGGTGGTAAGTGGAGCAGTGAACTTACCTAAAGAGTGGGAATCATTTTGCAGATTGGTTACACTATGGCCTACCGCACCTTCATTCTCCTCAAACATTCCCACTAAACATGAATCGACCAAGAATTCGACTTTGAGTATCCCAGACAGTAGACATTAGTGACCTTGGGTTTGACTTAATACGCTACGCTTTAATACGCTTTAATACAGCAACAACTTTGGCAGAAATAACCCAAGCTTGTACTAAGGCCTGCATGCAAATACAGGAATCAACTAAGCGAGCAGAGGCGATGCCGAAAATCGAGGTAGCCTAAAATGCCTCAAAAAGCATACAATCAAAGGGAAATAATAAACCAACGCACAAAAGAGCGAACAACGAAGAGCCAAACGCGCCTCACCTTTTAGAAAACTGTAAAAGGGAAATATGCACAACTTATTCTACGTCATGCATCTTTAAGGGCTTGCGACGCCTGTATCAAGAAGTCTTCCCTCACTGCCTATAACATTGGTCTAGTCAAAAGCCTAAAAAAGACTCCCCTCTTCACCAAAGCCAATCTAATTACTAGGCAGGTATGCCTAAACTATTGAGAAACAATTCATGATGTAAGAAAAAACTCATTTTTTTACTTTTAAAAAATCCACGCTGTCCTAGTAATGAAACTGATATTTAATTCAGCTAGCGAATAGTCACAGGCTAAAGCTTACGATTCTTCCTTTGAATTGGTATCAGCGTAGTTCTGAAAGAACTGATCCCTCTCGCATAGCGCTCTTTCAACAATTCGAGCAGATCTATCAAAGAAATTGCGGAATCCTTCCGACAGGAGCATCTGTTGTTTCTGTTCCTCAGTCAGCTCAACAACTAGAAATTATTTGAAAATTAGAAATACAACAATTCGTAACTGATTTCAATAGAGTGTGCCTTCCACTTAACAACGTACGAGCGGACTCTTGAAGTTCTTCTTTAGGTATCGGAGCACTTTGTTTAGGGATTTCACCATGGACGCTTTTTAGCATCTTCGCATCGGATCTATCGTCATCATAAGGACTCCCAATCAATTGACCGTCGTTATCCATCGGGGAATCATCGTAGGTAAGAACTGATACAAAAAATGGCAAGCAAAATAGATTTAAGCGTAAATGAATGCAAAGATCAATGATGAACGATGATAGATTAGAAGCCAGCGGCTGGATAAAAGATAAGGGGGATATGAATGAATGCAAAGAGGGATGAATTATTGACTAAAGAGTGAGAGTATGAACGAATAAACAGGCAGAACTGGGACAAACACAGCCACTTAAGTTGGCTGGCTACACCAAGAAGAGGCAGCCAAAAATTAGTGTGAGTGAGCCAGGCATGGATGGATGTATATGAAATGGGCAGACGTTAAAGAGATCAGAGTAGGTCCCGTGCACGTCTATTCAACTTACCATAGTATGCCATGGCACCAGCTGAAACAAGACCGATATAGATTTAAGTGTCGAAAAAACATAACTGCATGAAAACAAATGCTCTCCACGTACTATCAGGCAGCTAATTTTAAGTCTGCCAGCCAGCACCAGCCAATCGCACATTAAGGATAAAGCACGTGTTTGGGATATTTGGGCACTTACGATGGCAATCGACATGCACACCTAAAACCATACATTAAAGGATGCCTCTCAGCTGCACAAACACAACTTTTGTCCAACTAGATGATAACCTTTCATTAGTGTCTAAGCCGATTTTTATTAACTTATAAAGGTATCCCCGGCACCCATGAACAAGCTTGTCGATTCTTATAATTGATAGTTCCCAGTGCGTAGGCGACTAGACTCATATAAACTTGCATTGTAATTGGTTAAAAGGATTAAGAACATTGGTAAACAACTAAGGTATGAATTGATTAGAAACAATCATGGAAAGTATCAGCACGGTTACAGGAAACACTTACGATCCCGGTTGACATTGATTTCCACAGTTTGGGTTTCTTTGGCATAACTGTCACGTGGATGTGGCTGAACGTCGAATTCGGATACGAAACAATACTGCAACTTCTTGGGTCTCTTGACAGCTAGAAGAGGCCTGAAAAATGTAAGGCAACCAATATGGAGCTACTTGGTTGCTTCTTCGGAAGTTCCAATTGAATCCGCGTCCGCTTCCGAGGAGATTGGCTCCTTTAATGAGTCGATCCCCAAGTTTTTCAGAAGAGCATCAGCTTCACCACGCAAATCAGCTGACGAAGAAGTGTTAGAAATACCACTGAGACCCTGACGCCTTAATTCCTCCCTCTTGAGTTTCTCTTCGCGAAGCGCACGCAATCTCTCTTTTTTTAACTCCAATTCAGCTTTTCTATCCGCTGCTGCAGACATCGCCTTTACCTCCCAACTTTGTTCCTTAACGCCTAGTCGAATGAACACAACGGAGGTAAATAGTCACAAAAAGCCAACATCATCGTTAGTATCGTAGAGGTACAAAATCCAAATTTTACGTAGCCTTTTACCAACGTAATAGAAAAGTGCGGTATAGAATGCTTAAATTTTTCGCTTCTTAATTTGCTTAATAATAGTGCCTAAAAATACAACGTATCAATAGAAACTTATTGGGGTAAAGTTTGTTTATGGGACTTTATTTACATGGTAGAAATCCACATGGCAAGTATATACTAAAGGACTAGTCAAGTTTATTACAGGTGTACGTATAACCTCTAAATACCATGATTTGTATGAGTTGCTGGGTTTCTGGCCCACCCTGAGGTATCGAAACCCTGAAAGGTATCAGAGACAGCATAGTTTAAAGTATTTCAAGAATTCTCATTTAGTACTGGAAGGCATGACATTTGTCTGTTTACTTTTATTTTGATAGAAAGGGTAGAGATCAGGCCTCGGCATAATTTAAAGTCGATGTCTCCCCGCAGAAGATAACCTCTTAGGTCCTCTTCGCTTACACAGACAGTACAGTAGACAGATTTGATATATTTACTAATCTTAGTAGGCCTGGGTGTAATACCTTGCTTGTGTAACCATAGTAAATCTAACGGTGACTTTGATATTTGGCATGTCCTTGTACGTGCGGGATGGGCCAACATAATCCCTTCTCCTACCTAATGGGGAGTCTCGGAGCTCTACACTATTTGTCACCTTTTAATGCTTATGAATATATAAATAGGCTATATAGGTTGGATATAAGGACAACTCATATATTTTCTAAATCATTCAAGGACCTCCATTTTAATCGATTAAGATCTCCTAATGTATCCAGGCTAATGGAGGTGTCGTGGAACAATCTATGTAGTGTCCCGATGCTTCCAATAGGATAGTAGAAGATATAAGTGAGGTTGAATACATGTATTCCGAAGACAATAAAAGAAATGGGGCCTGAGCGTGGCCCAAAGGCCACTCCACGCGTACAGGGACCAGGCAAATTCTAAAGTGACCACCAAACGTCAGGTAGCAAAGCATTACAATCGAGATCCCTGTCTTGTGCATAGCCGCAGAGAAGAATAAGTAGACATAACCTTTTCTAAGAGTGCAACGATAGTCAAGTGGTGAAATAACAATTGATTAGAATGATTTCCATTAGCTTCGTGGGCTTATTTTAATGCGACTGGAGGAATGGCTGCCTTGGCAATCGCTGCTGTTTCGAGTGAAAAAGCTTGTTAAATGAAGTGCTTCAAAATGTCCATTACCATATATAGGAAAGCGCTTTAGCTTTAATACGTCTAGTGTTAAACGATACTGGCGATCAATAAACCTAAAACTTTCAAAACCTGTCTTTGGGCAACTTAAATGGGATTTGAGGCTGCCGGGGGAGATCAATGACGCTGAGAGCAAGTGTATTTCATTAGTCACGTTAGGAAATGCCTTTGGACCGCACTGAATGCGACAACTGTTGCGCAGTTATAAAGAGGAGCGCTGAAAACGCCACTTCAACGATGGTAGAAATGTGTGGTACTCTCTTTGTTTAGACGTCCGAAATAGTGACAAGTACATTGCAAGCCATCTTGTTTATACAGGATCAGCTTGTTACTGGGCCATGCCAAAGCCACAACCAAAACATTACCATTTGGATACAAGCATTCAAACGAGCATTATGCATTTTATTACGAAATGGGAATACTCGGTGCGGCACAGACGTATATGAAGTTTGTAGCATACCATATTGTTTGATTTTATCTTAAAGGAAAGCCCGTGGCATCATATCTATAACAGCGCGAAGAACTCCAGTTATTATATTTCCCATAGTTGATCATCTAACTTCAGAAACTCGGGAGAGGGAAATCTGATTTTACAACCATCTCCTTCCCTCATTTTGGTGTTCGGATTTATTATATCCTCAAAGAACTAATTCAAGTGAATTCGATCTAAATTCGTGTTCCCTTGATTTTCGTACAGCAAAAGAAGCAGCACCAAACTTAAGGCATCCACAAAACATAATTACAAGCCTTTGTTGTACATCCCCATTATGGTACCAATGAAGTGGAATCCAGATAAACTAAAAGCTGCTTAGCACCATTGAGGCAAGAAGAGCTCGAATTTGAAACATAATGAAACAATTTAGACTATTCTTTGTGCCAGGTAGTTTTGCTTTGGGCTGATTTCCGTACAGATGCTGATCGCTATAAGAGGTGAACCCCAACGAAATCCCCGCATCACTGCAGAAATACTTTGCACATCATCGTCGGCTTGACAGTAGGTCACTATGGTATTCACTTTCCCTCGTGGGCATGGATTGGCCTTTGGGCCAATGTTCTCTATTGTTTTAAATGTTTGGCATTAAAAAAGAGAAGAAGAGATCAGGTTTTGGCATCACACTGCCCCTCTCTTCCTTTAACCGGCGTCCTCGGCGTTACCCCTTTGGTACACCT